TGTATCATGGACTTGGTACAACATGCGCTGCGACAATTTAGTGATCGTCGACATCAGTTTGGGGCACAATCGAACTTCAAGTACGTTGCGAAACTTGCTACGCGACGAAGCTGACATCAAGTGAGTGTTGACCGAAGTTTGACCCCAAGTCACGCATTGAACTGGCGCGTTACCTTAGCAACCCTTTTCTTTCTTGGTCCGCGCTTTGATCTCGTAAATTTGTTATTATATCCGGCGGTACTGTAATAACACAACTTGTATCCAACTCTGTATTGGCTTTGAATATTTCAACATCGTTTACTTAGTGTGCTGCTTTTCTAATAACGCAAATATGTTTACAGTATTGCACGGGCTCTAAGTATTTCAACTTTGCAATGTATTGCTTTTATAATAATTACGCAAACTAAGTTATTTTTATTATTGTTGAGACACTAACCCAGGCTATTTGGTATCTGTGAATATTTCAATATTACCGACTTGATAATGCGTTGCATTCATAATTATTACGCAAATTTAAACATGGGTGCATTTAAATCATTGAAAAAGATAGTCAGGTCCCGGAGTCAGGTGTCTAACGAAAGTCGAGAAAATATTTTAAATACTTGTGACTCATCGGTGAATTATTTTATTCGAAATAAACTGAATATGTAATATTAACCATACAATAACATACGTAATGTTAAATTTTTCTATAATAAACTCGCAGCACACTTCGATCGCATTATTCGCGTACATTTCGACTGAATTCTAATAACCACGTGTTTGAATTACGTGCAGCAATGGGCAATGACCTCAATGAGTTCACTCACTGACATTTAAATTCGGGCCACCCAGTTTGACACAAAACGATATAGTTACTTAACATTTGTTCAAAAAATCGGTAAACTCTCGTGAAGAGTTAACTGAAAGGCAACGTCGTTTTTGACCAAAAAAAAACCACGTCAATACAAGATTATGTGTGCGAGGTTAGATTTATAGAACGTACATGACCGCTTAACTCTGTATTTTTTTTAATAATCATGTTGCACGTAAAACACAGGAGACATTTTAGTTCGTCCATTTCTTGTTTACCGATCTTGAACTTTTTGTCTGGAATGCGATACAGGCAAAGAATAAACATTAATGATACCCACTGTTGTCAAATCAACAAGAGGCTCGAATCAGGAAGGCTCGGCTATTTAAAACTTCGTAAATAACATTCTTTTCATGTGGTAGACTTTATTCAAGTGTAACAAACGTAAGTGAAATGTATGGACGAGTCATAATACTCGTACCTTCGAAAGTTACGACTTTTACTCTTGGAATTGGTTATAAATACATGCATAAAATACAACATTGTTTTACGCAACAACAATTCGTTTACAGCATTGGACTTATGAATTTTTATATTAATAAAATACGTGGGCTGATAATATTACCATATGCTTAGTATTTCCATGCCAGCGATGCTCGTAACCTGCTCGATTTAAAAACAGCTGGAATCACAAAGGAAACTGTTAAGTACGTATTTCACACCTTTCCTAGGGCCGCGGTTGCAACCGGTACTGGTGGCCACCGCGGTAGAGACCCCTAATTATAAGCAGTCCGCGGCTCTCCCCTGTGTACCGCGGAGAGCCGCGGTGATTACCGCGGTAAACCGCCCATTTGATTTTCTACTCTCCCCTAAAACCAAGTGAATATGTTCAAAATAATAAATTAAATGCAAGTATAAAATGCTTGTGTGAATCAGTTTCTAGGAAGATTAAACTCAGCATGATGCAAAGTTAAAGCATGCTTGGTAAACAAATTATTATTTCCTGTTTTCGAAAACGATGTCTCATGACAGACCTCTGTGCGTTTCCACCTGTATCTATGACTTTCAGACATGCCTGATCCAGTCGCTTTCAAACTTCACACGTACATTTTGTACATCACACATTTTAGGGGACATATACATATACATTCAAGATGGCTGGAGGATTGCCATTTTTGTGCTAAAAATTCATTAAAATTAAGCATTTCTGCCATTCAGGAACTGGATCTAGGTCTTGAATAGACAGATTTCATTCAAACTTGATACATACATTATGAGACCTTGATGTATATCCTTTTGTTTTTCAGATATGATTTTGACATGCTTTCACCAATCTTGTCCAAACATGTATAACATTTTTATATTGAAAAAAATCATCAAAATCAAGCATTTCTGCCATTTCAGAACTGGATCTTGTCATTTTATTTTTCAGATCAAATTGAAAAGGCTGACTAGCAGCAATTTTGCTGGAGCTATATCTCTGGCATGCAATGGCTGTTCATGTTAAAACTTGATATATTTATTAAGCTATCGCTATGTAAAGGTGTAATTCTACAACTGTCTTTAGAAATAATAACTGAAAGAAGACCCAGTACCTTATCTGCTATAAATAATACACATGTAGTACACTTAGGGTTGCATGGCAGCTTGTTAAAACACAGTAGCAGGTCTAATACCCTAAGCACATACAAATGCGGCTGACATGGGAAGGATACTATATAGAAATATGTTGTTAATAGATGGTGAACTTGAATTAGACATGCAGTTTCATTTTGAGTTTCTCTTATTTATTCTGGTAAAATAGGCCAAACTGATGACAATCATGTTAAACATTTTTACAGCACTATAGGACTGTAGCAAGTAAATGGATTAGCACTTTTTATTTGCCTAAAGTTAAAGTTTGAACAACTAAGCCGCATGCTACCTAATTCAACAAACATTGTTTATCCCTATTCCTGACATTGGTATGTAATTTAATCCGGAAATTCTCACCTCAAAAGTGTGGATGTTTTTCTCTTAGCTATTCTCAGTGCACTATGCATGTCACTGGATCCCTACATTGCATTTTGTGTGTTTGCTGACCATAGTTTTTCAAATGGCCTTTCTCACCCTTTTCAACCCACTATATATATAGTCTGCATATTTATCATAGTTTCTCAAATATAGGCCTGTCTCAACCCGTTCAACCCACTGTAGTCTGCATATATACCATAGTTTCTCAAATAGGCCTGTCTCAACCCGTTCAACTCACTGTAGTCTGCATATATACCATAGTTTTCCAAATATTGGCCTCTCAACCCGTTCAACCCACTGTAGTCTGCATATATACCATAGTTTCTCAAATAGGCCTGTCTCAACCCACTATAGTATGCCATATTGCATATGCATGTACCTTAGTTTTGGTTCATGTTTGGAAAAGTATGGTAGTTTTTGCATGCTACAATCTCATCAGTCTTCTGATGGAATCTGTGTGGTCGTCATAAATGTATGCTGCTTAGTATTTTTATTGGATGTTTAGATTTTTTTGTAACTCCTGTTTTTCTAACTACTAGGAGAAAAACCTCACATCCTTTGACAGAACAACATGTTATGTTTACGCCTTATGACTTACTGGGTGCCATGGAAACCACACAATTGACCAATGAGAACGAAGATTATGCAATGCGTAATCAGTGTCACCATTCCGCCGTTGTTCAAGGCAGTCACTTTATTGATCAGACTGATAGATCAATTGATTAATTCCTCATGCAAGTAATTAATATTGCTATATTATATTCGGTGGGAATTTAGGGTTGGCACAAAATTGCATTAATTGTAAATAATCTCACTAATTTAAGTAATATCTATTGCTACTCATTGCTTTTCTCATAGCTGTAGCTTCATTGTGCAAATAGAACAATTAGATTTTATGTGGGTAGGGGTTTGGAACAGGTATTACATGATCTCCTCTATCCTCCATCTAAAATATAACTGTAATGTTCCTAGTAATGTTCCATCTGTCCTTTCCCACATGAAATGTTCAGTGGCTTATTTGTGAATTCACAGTGTATTAACAGCAATCCAATGTGCATGATTGGTGTTGTAGTCACAGGTAGAAATACAGCACACTTAAAATACTGACATACACATATTATAGTGAAGAACCATATTTGGTGCTAGGAGTACCTGCACCCTGCTTTTAGACTCCACTATCATAAGTGACATTAGATGATATTGCTGGAAATTCATTGTAATTTTATGTTTGGATTCCTATTCTTGTTTTTCTTTCTCTGTACATACCAGTGTTATAGCTCTGAATATGAAAGTGTATTGGAACATTACACAGATGTCACACTGTGCAATGACTCATGGGATACCAATTTAATTATTCATGATGGTTACACATATTGCAAAGCTTATCATCCCTTTGCGAATGACACCTGGTAACCTAGCAACTCATCTATCATTGCTCATGTTCATTTCAGATTGTGTTAGTTCAGATTGTGTTAAAATATTGATGTTAAAGTTGTATTGTCAGCAAAACTGGAAAATCTTTTCTATTTTGGGTATAACTTATTGTATTCATAAGTAATACTGATAAAAACCTGATGTATAGTATAGTTTATTAACTAAGTTAGTTCTATCTTCACTACAATAAATCCTACTCAGTAAAAACAACTAAGCTAAGATGTACTTGTTTGATGTTTGAAGTCCCTTGAACGCAGAGGTAACATGACTCAATGCCTGTTCAGAAAACACCTCAAGTGTCTGGTGAACATAATTCATATTCAGTCTAAGACGAGAAAATTGTGCAGGCAATCAGTTACTTAACCTTTTCACAACCAGTTTGCTCTTTTCATCACTCTGCACTTTCCTTCAGAAGATTGGGACAAACATGTTTTGAGTAAAAACTGAAAAAATTAGGGTTCATTGCCAGAAATATTGAAGAATATTAGAAAAAAAGTGCAGTAAAATTCTGGTGGTGAAAAGAAATGCTAAGATACTGAAAAACTCAATAACGGAACATACTGTACTGTACATGGTTGCATTTATTATATTACTCGTATTGCTTCACATTCCGAACACTAACTAAATTTTGCTGACAATACAACTATTAGAAGGCGATTTAATGATTTGGGAGATTAATGGTTGAATCAAGTCATCTTTGGATATTAATAAATTTGTAATCTGAAAATAAATTATGGTGGATACCTTTACTGTGGGCACCGAAATACACAGATCTTGAAAACTGCTATCTCCCTATCAGTTTGTCTTGGAATATCCTTACTGTTTTCAATCAGATTTTGAGCAAAGAAGTTGTGTGAAATATTAATAAAATACTGTTATTTGCATCATAGAGAGTTCTACATTTGAACACAATAAATTGGATGGAAATGAGCGTGAAATTTAATTTTAAATTCGAACACCCACAATAAATATAGTTATACTTTTTGATACATAATTTCTAACGATTGAATGCAAAGTCATAAAACAAACACAGCTAAAAATCTTCCAAGAAATATTGCAATTTTTATGAGAAATTGCAAGAGATAGCGGCTTTCATGATCAGTTTATTTTGGCACCCACTATGAAGTGTGGCAGTCATCGGATCATGTGAATTGGTAAAATCTATTTCTAAAATGTTAAAGAGGCGTGGTGGGATGTCTGTTACATTTCAATTTTAAATTATTATCACAGCATTTTGATCTTTGTATACTGTGGGATATGATATGTTATGATACAATTACTTCATGTATAGCCATAGCCACACATTTCTATTAATTATATACACATGCCTGTACACCGTGTTGCTTGTTGCAACTGTAAACACCTGCAATGTATACATACTTATATTGGGTCACATTGTTGATATTATGAGAGGTTGGTGGACAAAATTTGGTGGTTATTTTGGTGCTGGAATTTCCCTTTGCATTAAACAATTTATATTTTCCCGAAAATTACATTTATGTTATTCAATACTTTCTGTGGTCCACCTTTTGAATACTGGCATTTTCTCACCATAATCTTGGTACAACATTTTGCACATTTTTTCGTTAATTTTGGATCAAATTGACGTAATTTTCCATTGGTGATAAAAGTTGAATTCGGTACTTAATATGCAAAGATGAAAATATATACATACTGCATTATTTTTTCATGAGAGATGATCTTTCATAATTTAAAAATTAAATACTATAGTAGTATGCTTCCATAATCTACATTCATCAAATGTTATTTGACATTTTTTTTTTCCCCCTGTGTTTGATGACCTCCAACCTCGGTTACATCAACAAAGCCCAATAACTGTAAGAATGTTCTGCACTATCCTGTATCCAATTTGTCTTTGCTCACTGAACTAAGCATGTCAAAGTTACAGTTTTAGATACTTCAGTGCTGGCACACACCAATTATTAATTCCTATAAAATAGTATGCTTATGTCTCACAAACTAATCTTGATTACCTTACAATACAAAAAAAGCATCAAATTAATTTAATTTTAGTCCTCACAAATACTTTCATATACATTATATGTAGTTTTCAGCAACCACACAGTTGTATATCTGTATAATCATTTCTTAATATTCGAGAAAACTATGTTTGTGTGGAATATTATATCAGTCAGGATGATATTAACAACTATTCATGATGACATTTTCAGGATATTAGATAAATGTTTTTCTTTCAAAATAATATTGTTTTTTTTTTTTTTTTTTTTTTTTAGTCGTGGACCACCACCCCCTGAGCAAATGATTATAAGTCAGCCTTCCACTTTGCCATTTGGTCTAACAACAGAGCAATTAACAGAAGATGGTGAGGATTATTCATCAAGAGGTCGTTATCATCAATCCGCTATAGTTAAGGGTCAAAATATGGATGATTTTGAATGAAGAAAACTAATTATTTGGTGGCTTGCTCTATGATTGGGCAGTGTAGCAGTGAAGACTACATTTGATCTTTTTAGATCCTGTGCAACATATTATTCTCTGTAACAAAGTGAGTTCAGATACAAGTAGACTAAGTAAGAAATGTATTTTGCTTGTGTTGCTTTTTCAACATTGTTTGTGTTTCTCTGTGGACCATGAGGTTTGTTCTGTACATTGTGTAGAACTCACTTCACCATGTGTAAGATTATTTCTTCTCCAAGATTGCAGCTTCATAGTAATCAATTCAGATATTTGCATTTATTCTTTGTTTGTACAGTGCTTCAGTGTATAGATATATATGTATATATAAGAGTGTTTTATCAAAGAATGTAGAGAATGAAATCAATTTTCTGGTTATTTTGTACTTGGTATGATGTCTTGTAGCGAGTAATCATCAAATCATGCCTCTGTACTACCATGCCTGCTTAACACACCAGTAGTATATGTGTACAACTGCTGTATAAGCAAAACAAGCTAATTACTAAGGCTAAATACATCTGAAAGAATGAAATCCTTAATACAAGGTAAACACGTGAAAGAATAAATTTTTAGCAAGTTTGATGTCAATCTAATAAGAGGACGATTGTCTGGTGTCCCAACTTATTCTCATTAGCAAACATCTAGGCATTTTCACTGCCTGGCAACCATCACCGGTGAAAACAGCGATCTAAAACTGTACTTTGGGCTAGTTGTTGAGACTCTCCTGAACTGGCAACATGTATACATTTGGTTGTTTATCTCAAAGTTGAGTTGTGGCTGTTTTTACCGTTTCTTCGACTGGCTTTCCACAGCAGCTTGTACAGAGACCATAGAAATGCATGCAACATTCAAGTAACCTTCTGTGATGTAGCTCCCCCACACAAATTATACTTCACTGTTACTCTACTTAGTTTGGTTTATGTATTTAGACAATGAAGAGAATGATACAGTTCATTTACAGACGCTGGGATCCGCTTATTTTCTGTATATTGTGAAATATTATTTTTGAGATAAAATTGGTGTGATTGTTTTAAGTTTCATCTTTGGCTCATGGAGGTAGTGGAAATGTAGTGTCAGGTGGTGATCCCAGTGTGCAAGTTTCTCCCATACACAGTACTAAAGTGTTTCTGGTCAGGTTGAAACTTTTTCAGTTCTATCAAAGTTTGCTGGATACATTCATATTATGTAAGGTTCACAAAGTGGTCACAATTTTATAATAATACACTGAAATTATTAGGAACACGCATTAAGTCATGTTTTTCAGTATTAACCTTATTTTGCCGATAATACACACACTTTAAATAGGCCATACTGAACAAGACAATTCCAATCTGACAATTGTATCTGATTTGGGCCTGCGTATTGTTAATTTATTTAATGCTTTTTGCATTTTTTTCCCTGAAGAAATAAACCTTGTTGTGGGTGGTTCTACAGTATTCAGTGCTGATTGTAACATGAAACATGTTGGGAACATTCTGCAAATACATAGATTTATATGTCGCATACTAGTTTACATACTGCATATTAGTAATAAAATGAGTAAGTGTATTCAGTGTGACTAGGGTCTGTATGTTTGCCTCGATGAAGCTTAGTGACTGTCAACATTGTTGGTAACTGTATGTCAACATTGTTGGTAACTGTCAACATTGTTGGTAACTGTCAACATTGTTGGTAACTGTATGTCAACATTGTTGGTAACTGTATGTCAACATTGTTGGTAACTGTCAACATTGTTGGTAACTGTCAACATTGTGTCAACAATTTGATTATAGGTTCGTATCAGCATGTTTATATTTGTTGCTAACCCAATGTGTTGATTGTTGGATAACTGTCAGTATATCTCTGAAAAACAAAATTGGCGAGAGTAAGCATATTTGTAGATGTTGATGAAGTGTTTCTTTTCTTTTCAACATTTATTAAATGAGTATACTGGATAATTCATGTATATATAGAGTATTTTGTATAAATTGTATTGTAAATGACAAATATATTGCCCCTAACAAAATTGTTCTAGAACATCTCTCATGTTTAATGCTAACTTCATGTTTTAAAAACATTAAATCCAAAGGGATTGTGGCTGAGCTTGCAGAATGCAAGATAAAGTAATTTTAAAAACATCTATGTAAACTCGTGGTACTGTACTGTCTTAGAATTGTGGTAGGTACTTGCTATGTTACATTATGGAGTCTGTTTTGCTTCGCTTAGTTTTAAATTACTGATTGTTTCGGGCATCCCTAGTTTTATTGCGATTTGTGAGCTTCTTTAGCTTTCTCAGAAATGCTAAGTATCTGTAGAGTCAATGATTAGTTAGCACCCTTATTTCCCCCTAAAATGCAAGTCAGTACAGTGTCACCTGAATGAATCAATTATGTTCTGTGTATAAGTTTATAGGTAAATGTATTGCTCTATGTCTTCAATAGAGGTGTATATATTTATATTGTCTGGTGCTAGCTTTAATGTTTATTTACAACACCAAAGAAAACAAACTTTATTAAATTTTTTTTTTGAATTGATTTTACTAATGTTATATTTATCAGTGCAATTATTTAAATGAGTTTATGAGGATTGTTTACGTATTGGAGAGTGTAGCTTTCATGTATAGAGAATTCTGCAAGGAATCATGAGCTTGACCTTACTGCAGGTTATATCCAAGTTCAAATTCTTGCCATAAACACTAATTTATAATTTAATTTTGCATATCTTGTTCATTTAATTAATTAATTGTATTTTCAAAACTAAGTTTCTATTACTTCTAATTACATGCTTACAATCTTAATTGGCCTCATAAATTACAATTTTTCTGAAAAGTTACTTTTTAGCTCCGCTGTCGACTTTGTCGAGCGGAGCTTATAATATGAGTGATTGTCCGTCGTCGTCCGTGTCAATGTTTTACTTTTTCGACTTCTTCTTGAAAACTACAAGCCTGAATGCTTTGATACTTGGTGTATATGTACCTTGGGTAGACCTCTCTTAGGTTTGTTCATTTCATGTTGATATCTTTAATTCTCTAATTTTGGTGAATATTTTTGTAATTTTTGGTAAAAACTGATATTTTGGACTTCTTGTTAAAAACCGCAAGTCCGATTGCTTTGATATTACATATATAGGTACTACATGTGGACCTCTCTCAGATTTGTTCATTTTGTGATGATGTCTTCAATTCTCTAATTTTGGTGAATATTTTTGTAATTTTTGGTAAAAAGTGATATTTTCAACTTCTTGTTAAAAACCGCAAGTCCAATTGCTTTGATATCACATATATAGGTACTACATGTGGACCTCTCTTAGATTTGTTCATTTCGTGATGATATCTTCAATTCTCTAATTTTGGTGAATATTTTTGTCATTTTTGGTAGAAAGTAATATTTTCGACTTCTTGTTAAAAACTGTAAGTCCGATTGCTTTGATACTATACATATTGTTCATTTTCTGATGATATCTTCTGTTCTTTAATTGAAATGTGCATTGCTAACAGCGGAGCTATCTCAGCCGACAGGCTGCTTGTTTTTACTACCTCATGCATACTGACAGACAATAATGATTGGCTGAAACATGATTATACCTTGTCAATATTGAGGGAACTTAGAGGGCGGTGGTCATCCCCATGTGCATGTGCAACATTTGTGTTGATAAACATTGATTTTCCCCGCAATAAATGTGCTCTGATAATGTAATTCACAAGTATGAGGTTTGACCTTGGCCTGACCTGCACTAATTACCGCCTGTAACTTCTTTGATACCTTCCAATCATCTAAAAAAAATACCTAATTAAAGCTTGATAATGTCTTCGTTGATCTGCGCAACAGTCAAATTGGCCATCTTTGTTTATATGAGACCCAGATATCTCACGCATGTGTGGCGACAACTACCGCCCTTTAAATGTTACCTTTAGCATTGGTAACAAATATAAGTACTGTTTATGAGTACAAGTACATTACTATTTTAGCATCAACACGTAGCCTTTCACTGCCAGAATACGGTACTGTTTGCATAATATACTCACACAATTGAATTGGACTCAATGTGAATGTCTGCCTGCATGTTTTAGTGTTATTGAATAATAATAATTTTTAGTATAGAAAATAATAGTATAGTTTAATTAATCTTAACTTTAATATTTTTACTGCCATGTCAACAATTTTACCTGACATAAAATAAATCTATAAATTTTCTTCTTAATTCCAGTATAATTGTTAATCAGAATATTAGTATTCAGCATTATAGTCTAATGCTAGATATGTTGTTCAAAGTAAGTGCTAGAACGAGTAAAAATTGACAGTAAAAAAGTGAAAACAAAATTTTAACATATGTGCACAGTAAATACATTATGGTTGTGAATGAAGTTAAAACACACATGGGTTTAAAGGCAATGTATTTCTTTGGTGTTGTAGATAGACACATCTACTTATTGTATGTATTTTTAAATTTAATTACATGTTGATTTATTAATTTATCAGGTATTAACTACAATGTGCAATATATGTAGTTACTAGCTTTTGTACAGGGTATATAATTAATAGACTAGCCAACACTGTTCCACCTCTGATACCGCTGGACTGTTAACAATGACCTGATTGCACCATTCTGTCTATAATTTAGTAGTTTATGAGTAATTTTAGTTTAATATTGCATTAAAATATTCACATCAAATCAGACCTCGCCTCCACTCTCCAAAGATGTCATTACCTTATCAATATATGGTATTTGTTCTATAAGAAGCGCATATAAACTAACAATCTCCTCTGTAGTATACATAATTATAAATATATTATTGTAACCATAGAAACAGCTGTATAGTTTACTCATGCAGTGCACATCCCAATTGTACATAATATGATATGCATTGTATACATTTGATGTGTATCACAGCATGGTAAGACATAGTATAACTGATGGGCATTGCCGAAAGGTTTATTCATGGCATACAGAGGTTTAGTAATGGTGTATGTACAGTAATTGTCTATGAATAGTACATTGTATTGAGG